TAAACTAAATAATTCTGTTCGTAGTTGGCATCTTTTCCCATCAGCCTTAGAAACAGCAGATCAATTACAGACTCACATATTAGCGATCTTTCCCCTAATCGCACAGAATTATTCACAAAATTAAGTGTGGTTACAACTGCTCATAGTTTTTTTTAAACAATACAGATTACAACAAAATGCAACAGACGTTATATATATATATTTATTTATTTACACCGTTACACCCTGTAGCATACCAACCAGTTAGTGTTAACGTCCATGAGTCACGTCGTTCCAAGTTAGAAACTTTTTATATATTCGATTTATGCTGTATAAAATTATTAATTATACTTACGGTTGCAAAACGAATAATCAAGCAAGAACACTATCATTGGTTTAAAAATGTTGTCTACATCCTCGTGTAATTTCAACTTTTCTTGGCTATATCCACTGCAATATAATTGTAATATTGAGCAAAATTATCCCAGTTTTATGTATGTAGGAAATGTAGTTGTTCAAAACGCCATTTTATGCGAATACGTCCACTAATTGAACTGTTTTTTCACATGGTTCTCGTTAGTTGAATAAGTGACACATCCTCAATAGTAAATTTTCTGGTCAAGAAGCGCTCTGTACAGTAAAACACAGTAAGCATTGCTAATTACCATGTAGTTGAAACTCTACGTGGAGTAGCAAGTAAAACTAGGTGGCGTTGCTGTACACACTGTGAACGAAAAAATTATAGTCTACAAGTATTTTTCTCCGACACACGTGTAAAGCAAATACCTCAGCATTACCATTCTATCAACTACGTGAAACGACATACATATAGTAAAAACTGGATTAACTTATTACATTAGATATTCCCAAACTTTCTTAGCACAAAGCCCTCAGAACATTCCGCAGCCTGACTAAGATCTCCCACTCAATAAATCTGTAGATGTTAAGTACAATAAGTTCGCGGTCATCTGATGTGCAAACTTGGCACATGAAAAAGCCGTTATTTTGTTGTAGTCTTTCCTCACTTTATTTACACTCATTCGTGTTTTCAGTTGAGCATTAAGTTCCTAATCTGGCGCACATGTGATGTAGTCCAGTTATTTAAGATTTTATATTTTCATTTTGTCATTTAAAATCTTACAAATATGGCATTATTGTTTAATAAACGTAGTATCCACGGGCTCAAAAAATATATTAAAAAATTCCCAATGCATTTTAATAAAATAAGGACAATATATAATTTTGTAACAGTAGCCATTTGATTTCTTAAGTGTCTTACTCATTCGTGTATTCTATGCTAACATAGAAGACATATATTTAAATCCTTAAAAAAGAAAAGGAAAATACAAGCGTATATCTTGTAATACGGCTACGTAAAACGACTGCGAATGTGGTTGTCGAAGGTAAATTGATCAGAAAAACAAACATAGGTTAACAATGGGTAAACGGCCTTTTGATAATTCTATGCTGATTCTTTTTGTTGCAACTGAAATGTTTTTCTTGGTGGATGACGTCAATAGGACTTCTGTTTACGTCAACGCTCCTTAACTAAGTCAATTGAAGTTAATTATAGGGTGTGGTGTGGTTGCATGACTATTAAATTGATCGAGTTTCTTCTTTCTTTCTTCCTTTATTTTTATTTTATTTTATTATTATTTTTTTGTTTACAGTAACAAGCTGTGGTTCACATTCAAGCCAGAGGCAAACTGGATTCATGGATACACTACAAAGTTTTAATGAACGTAATAAAACTATCTACGAAAAATGGCGAATTGCTTAAGATTTTTTTCGTTACTTATTTCTCCAATTGCATTAAATCCTGACCTTATGATGTACGACATACTAAGAAAATTAAGCAAGTTGGCAAAACGGGTTTGTAGCACATATTAATGTTTTTTTCAATTAAGAAGTTCAAATGGTACTCGAAACTTACACCAGAGTCCATCAGGGACAGAATTACCACAGCGAATTGTGGGTTATTCAACGATGATGTATTTGAGACTTTAATTTTTAGAACATTCGTGACTGAAAACACTAAAGTATGGGATCAAAAATACATTTCTTAAAATTATGAATAACTAAAATACGAACGACACATAGTCATAATGTGAGGACAAATAATGTAAAAAAAAAATACATCATTAACACCTTCAAGCTATATTGTCGATGATGATTTCTTTCATCAAAACTCGATAAGTATTTAGAGGAAGTATGCTCCTAAAACATTCTAAAATTTTAGTATCATATGATAC